GGCGAAACTAAAGACGTTTTATACGCATTGTTAAGCGAGTGAAAGTAATTCATTTGGTTCCTACTCTACCCCTCCTGTCGGCCACAAATCAATTAGTCAAGTGGAGTACCGACACGCCCGAGACCGTTTCTCAAGAAGGGTGCAACCCTTAAACTGAATTATTCGTCAGTTAATCAGGGGAATATACTGTACCGCACGCCACGCCCGCTCTTTAGGCAACCAGCATTTCGATACGATCAGTGGAATTTTCTTACCAAGATCACAGACGTCAAGATATAAATTGCCAGCACTTACTGAAACATCATGGCGTCAAGCGTCAGAAAGAAAGACACTAAATAGTGTACGATTCTTGTAATTACGTTACATAATTTTGATCTAGAATGAATTAAAGAAACGAAATTTCTTCTGCATTCAGTACATCTCGAACTAAATTAAAAAGTAAAATGCGTAGAAAGATGTAGCTTTAGTGTCCTCAGGTGAGATTCATCACAATCAAAGTAAAACAGAACAGTGTAAACACTTCCTTTATGAACAAATCCCAGTTGATTATTTAATTATTTTGATTCAGTTAGTTAGTTTAATTAAATCTGTCATGATGATCCACTTTTACCTATGAAAGTAATAATGATAATCCTATACAAGAGTCTCAGAAAGCTGTGTGCCGCTGAATTTTGAATTCAAAAGCGTTCCTAGACTTTTAATTACAGATTATAAGTGACGTAACAGGGATTAGAACTTTTTACTCTCAAGTTTTCATCTCATCGGACTCAACTACATCTTAGTAGAAGTGTTTGTTGGTGCCTCGATACTTCGTCCGACTGTTTCTCATACCTCACACCAATTCCTCGTGCATTTTTCACTCACTTCCTTGATGATAGCGGCAGTGCGTACCCCTGAAACGTCGGTCGACTAATAAGAGATTGCACGGCGATCCCCTTGTGTGCTATAAGCGCTGTCATTGATGCCATGATTATTAATTTAATTAAATAAATGCGTATCACAAATATTTTCATATTATTATTCGTTTCCTCTACATATCTTTCAACTAATTCGCATAAACCTGTTAGAACCTTTGGGTTAACCTTCCACACCAGATAATCCATACGAGACAAAAATATCACAAGGATGATACACCTCTGCATTCGGGACATTTCAATATTCATCACGTTACACTTGGTAATTTATATGCCATTGAGACATTAATGATACGAAGACTAAAGTAATAATTTTCATTTCCTACGTCACTTGATGTTTCTATGTGATACCGTAATTCTGAAATGACACACGCATTTGCATGAGAAAGGGAGTAATCATTCAATATGCAGTGTCTAATCAATTTCATGGTTGAAAAGTTTATAGTACAAAGCACCAATCACAATTCGGTTACGCATATCACCCCGTTTCTGTCTTGTTACTATTCACGTAAAACTAGAACGTTAAATTAAGTCATGTTTATTTATCACCATATTAATTTTAATAACTATACTTTATTCTTAATGAAAAGGTTTGGCCGTAACTGAATTACAAGAAGACATTAACTCTTTTGCGTATAATTCAGATTCATATTATAAATAAAGGTGTCAGCCGTGAAATTGTATTAACATTGAATATTGAGCCATCAGTCCGTATAAAATGCAAATGTAAAGATAATGAGCAAACGTCCATCTTGTAGAGACAGGAAACAAAATGGGTGTTTGACTTCGTATCAAGCATGCCGGGCATCCTGATATATATAAAATAATGTTGCAAACAATATTAAAATAACTAAATCACAAGACAGCACACACTATATCAAAACGACCACACACATATTTGTGGTTTGGTATCTTTTCTTGTTAATTGATTTTTTCAACATATATTATACCACTACTTAGATCAGAAATAAATAGATCTTGAAAATAATTTTTTTTATGAATCGCCCCCACATTTAAATTCCACTACCTTGCAGATAGATCACAAAATCAATATCCACAAGAAAGAAGTTGTATCTGCTTCATAATTTTACGTCACATCATAAAGGAAAATTTTTCGTCTTAATGGAAATTCTGTATGAAAGACATGACACATGGTTGTACACTTAGAAATTGAATGGAAAATGCTGAAAATACAACACTGGCATCATCAAACCCTGTTCTGTTCCTCGCACACAAAATCTACAAGTAACCAACATCATATACGGATATGAATCGTCCGAACTGATGTATAATGTTCCTTGGATGTTTTGACGTCTTAAAATCTCGTGTTAACCGTATGCCCTACCAGTTACATCAACCAATAAACTTTAGATTTTATATTTATGGGTTTCGCATTAACCAGATATTTTTAATGGCGAGGAGTTGTGTTTCCTTTCAGGCAGGGGCTCAGTTCTTGAATAGATGAGCTTATACTACAAATGATTTAGCCCCTTACTCTGGAGGCCACTAAATTACATACTTAACTACCAAAAAGGGATTTGCCAGCGAACATTCTAAATACAAGATTCTTTCCTCCTTTCCCCAAAAATAAAGGGTCTCTCACTCCTACCCCACAATTTTTTCCTTGTTACTATTCTTTTGTGATCTCTCATGTCTCTTCCCAAAGGCTAAAGCTGTGTATCGCCATAAGACCGAAATAGAGTTCTTAATTTTTGGGAACTTTAAAAGTTATCAGAAAAGTGTATTTACATTCACTGCGCTATTCATTATTACTGATTCATCCTACGTCTTTCGTCACAATGTATGTTCTGTGCTTTGCTTTCTACGAGTTTCATTTAAAAGTAAAGGGAATTAAGAAGTTCCATGCGAGAGAGATTTCATGTCCACTGCTTATGCTAATATCCGACCGTCTCGCATTTTATAACGATTATTCACTGTAGTGCTGAAAGTATTGATTGTTTGTTCATAAACACAGCTACAACAATTTTATAATATGCCGTAGATATTAGCAAATAAGATTATTTATATATTTCAAGGGAATGTGTTACAGCCTTAAAAATTTAATTTCGAGACATATAATGCGTGTGGATTTAGTCATGTTTGTTCCAAATGAGTTAGATGGCAGCAAAAGAAAGACTTTTAAATTATATCAAAAATTATTTTGGTTATTACCCAGGTGCCCCCAAAAGATGTAAACACATATACACTTTGGCGGCCGTTTGTCAGTCAGTTAAGAGGTCGCGCGAGTAGTCGTATCCACCTAAATGCGCGATGTATAAACCGAGAGAGGGGAATTCAGTAGTAGTGGGGGTCGCACAGCCTCAGCTGCGGTGACGCACCGAACTAAACACAGCTAAAGCTACAAACCAACTGAAGCTGACACCCCTCTAGCGCGTGCTTCGGTCGGGTCCATCTCATACGACCAAAATCAGTCCTTTGCGCAAATGCCAGCACTTCTCGCTCGGGCCTTACTTACCGCCGTCAACTGTGCCACGAAGTTAACGGTGGTCATTTTAAAAAACTACACTCTATTCTCTAACCCACTAAGTGCCAATGATGATGTATGAAATGGTTTACTTTATGAAAACGACTTAATGTGTTTATACATCTTTTGGGGGGCAACTCTATACTTATATTATATGCGCTTAAACAACGTTACTAAAGTTTTCTGAACTCCCATCTCGAGGCCACTGGTCGTCTGTATACTGCGTAAAAATTGGAAAATGACAACAAATAGCCTGAAGGCATAAGGTTATTTGTATTATGTAACATGCAAATTATGTATGGTAATTATAGTGTTACGTACAATAGGAACGTTTATTTCTGTGTTATGCTCGACTAACCAATTTCACGGTAATGACGGCAAATGAAAGAGTTTTCTTCGGCTCGTAGAATTACCAGAGGAGGTAAGGTTACGAAAGGGTTCAATGGAAGTAATAAAGGGTATAAAGATTGAAGATACGAAATAAATCGCTTCCCGCTGAATTTCAATGAACTTTTTTAATAACACTGGTATGATATAACCCACTCACTCACTCTATGTTGCAGAAAATTCTTTCAAAAGTCGTCTCAATACTCGGATTGTCAATGAATGGGTCACATTCTATATGGAACTCGAAGGTGTTCACAAAATCCCTCCACCCGACTCTATCGTGAGCCAGCTGCATCCAGTTTGCTCCATCGATTCCTATCTCCCGAAGATACATCTTAATGTTGTCCTCTCACCGACGCCTACGTCTTCCCAGAGGTATCCTCCCTTCAGGATTCGCAAATAATACCTTGTAAACACCCTCCCCCTCCCTCATGCGTGCCACATGTCCCGCCAACCTCATCCTCCTTGATTTAAACACCCTGATAATATCAGGTGAGGATCACAGTCCGTGAAGCTCAACAATACGTGATTTTATCCATTATCCGTCTCCCTCCATTTTTGGTTCAAATATCTTCAACACTCAGTTCTCAAAGACCCTGAATATATGCTCTTGCCTCAAAGTGAGAGACCAAGTTTCGTACTAATACATTACAACTGGTAAAATTACACATTCGTGTATTTTAAACTTTTGTTTCAATAATATGAGATAAGAGAAAAACATATTTTGCACTGAATAATAGAAAGCATCCCCTGATTTTAATATTCTCTTGATTTCGTCATGAATATCATTATGACTTATTAGTGTCAACCCCAAACACCTGAATTTTGTCACATTTTCGAACGATTAATTACCTATCCTTAGTGTTTTCTGCATTTATTTCTAAACCAAAATCCCCACTAGCCTTTAAGGGTGTTTCTGTGTTCGCTTTTATAGAAATTATTACATTATCGCCCAACACATTAATATAGTCAACAAAGACCAAACGCTGACGTGTCCCATTCAATTACAAACCGCTTGGATTATAATCAGGAAAGTCCAAATAATTATTTGTACTTTCCTGATGGCATATTTTAAGGCAAAATTAAAAAACAGCAGTGACACAGCATCTCCCTGTTTCAGGCCATTGTGAATACGAAATGCATCGAACAAAGGATATAACCATTATCAAAAAATGAGAATTAATAATAGTAAAATAGAATAACAGTATTCGTACCTGGATAATAGACTATGCTTCTTGTAACCATGTAGTTCGCTTCAGGTATCCTCAGCTCACAGACGAACATGGTGGTTGCCTGCACATCCGTACCGTCTAAGACCTTCGTAGCCGAGATGTCGTAGCACCTGTGTTCCTTCGTCACCTCTACCACGACATCCTTTAGGCTGTCCCTGTCACAACACCCAGGAAGAACAACTTTGGCACTGGGTTTAAATCAAGACAAATACATTAATGTTATGCTTCCCAAATATTATAATCTAATTACGACAAAACATTAATCTTAAATTTATATTTTAAGGGCGGTGAGGATGATTACGAAGTGGGTTTTGGTGCCGTGTAGTCATGAAAGCATATTCCAACGTTTTGGATAAGCGACTACCGGCTTTCAACCTTGAAGATGCATACAGTATGCAACACTACCAAACGAACAAAATAATATAATCATCAAAAAGTACATCATAATACGAATTTGTGTTAATAAATGCAAGGCACTGAAGAGACCATAAAAATGAATACAGGCATACCTCGTTTTATTGCGCTTCGCATATATTGCCGTTTTTTTATAAATTGAAGGTTTGTGGCAATCCTGCGTCGAGCAAGTCTATCGGCGCCATTTTTCCGACAGCATGTGCTCACTTCGTGTCTCTGTGTTACATTTTGGTAATTCTCTCAATGTTCTCATTACATAACTTTTATATGCACTGGGAAACCAAAACATTCGTGTGACTCGCTTTATTGGGGTGGTCTGGAACCGTACCAGCAATATCTCCGAGGTATGCTTGTATCCCTATTTCCAAATTACGAATTTGTACTGACCACCATACATTAAGAGGGTGGTAGAAACGTGGCGTACGAGACGGATGGGCATATAGCGCACATGAGAGAAATGTATACAAAATTCTGATTAGAGAACATAAAACAAAGAGATATCGCGTAGATCGGAGAATAATATTAAAACTAAATCCGGAAAACATGGTTTCTAGCTTTTGTATTATTGTAACTGCGAGCTTATTAACGACTTTATTACGAGTCGTACAAATATGTGTTAGGCACGTGTTCTGTGTAATATATTCGGTGTTTATTCCCCCACCATAAAGAACAGCCAATATTAAGATCAGTATCTTACAGTAGAATAACTTGTATCCTGGTAGCCAAATGAACCGCAGGAGAATGCACATTTTAAACTAAGTTACCACTTTCCTACGCAGCATCACATTATATTACTAAATTAAATAATTTATGTGCAAACAATTTCATCGAGAAACTTACTTATTTTTACTACCCAAGTACAGCGCCATCTTTGGTTCTGGATACACACCCTGAGCGATGCAAGTAATATTGACTACTCCTGAATCATGCTTCCACCAGGTGACGTACAATTTCTTTTCTGGCGCTGAAACACAGAACACAACAATACAGCTATACATTTCAGCATAAATAGAAAGGGACCCTTTTAAGATTTTAGGTTGTTACGGCGGTGAGAATGATGATTATGATGATCTGGGATTTGGTGCCATGTATACTCTTTGTAGATGCCAACGTCTCGAAGAAATACGTTGTCTTCATCTCCAGGGCTAAAGTCTATACGATGCCAAAACCCAGATTATCATCAGAAAGGAATGAAGACTGATCTTAAATCGAGAATATTGAAAACACATAAAAACACAATAATTACAAAAGATATACAACTTGGCGAGATCAAGAAAGGCGAGACAATGTGGTAGATAAAACTAGATGATGATAAATATGCAAAATAAACATTAGTTTTAAATAATAATCCGACTGAACTCCGTTCCTCAATTACGTCGCACTTGTAATAAACTAAACGTTACTTACCGTAACAAACATACTTGCATTCAATTTTACTTTGTTTCTCAGCGTCACGTATACAACAGTTTGCTCATTACTAATCAATCAGTTTAATTTTGAGCATTTGTTTAGCTCCCCATTACTTTCATCAATCAACTGAACCACATCAATACATAGAATAGCTCCCTTTACTTTTCAAAGGGAACAAATGTCAAAATGGAAGAGAGCGAAGGAAAATTTGCATTTCTCATATGCGCAAAGGTTGAGGTGCTCACAAATCCCGTTTGTGAAATGGGTAGGTGGGAATAGCACCAGCGCACATACCTCGGTTACTTCTGCAGCAAGCAACTTGTTACTAAAGGGAAGAGAATTTTAAATGTAGTGGGCGAACTTTGCAGTCGGTAGTTAGAAGTAACGTAATGGGTCACGGACAATTAACAAGTAGAAGGCGCTGCAGATTATTTAACCCGCTTCGCTTGCGAACAGTAAACAAAACTGACACGTTAATAAGAAATCTAAGAACAGAAGTGGAAGATACTATTTCAGACAGCCTTAGGCGTCTTGTTTAAAATGACTCCTGTCTTGAAACGAAAATATTGTCAAGTTAAAAATCTGTTAAATAACTATAAATTATTCACACTCAGCACATTTTATAGATATACCTAAATATATTATATTACTTTATTAAAATATTATATATACTAAACTATGATATGTAGCGTTCTTTGTGTTCTGATGTTCCGCTACACTTAATTTTCTCATATCACGTTCCAAATTAAATTTATTAATATAGTAATTAAGTACGCTATATTATACACTCAAAATCTATAAGCACAATTTCAGCCAAAATCACAATTTTTGTTAATTTTACTTGCATGTACAATGAGAAGCTTCACAACCTCTATTCTTCACCATTATTAATTGAATGATTAAATCAGGGAATATAATGTGGGCAGGGAATGTAGCATGCCTTGTAGATATGAAAAATTTATAGGCCTGAATTTTAGTCAGAAAGTCTGGCGGGGCTATCTGTAGATTTAGACAGAAGGATGATATTAAAATATGCCTAAAAATAAGTGAGGACTGGTTGGATGGAGTGTAATTACAGGATGGTGTAGTCACTATAATGAACCACGGACGACCAAACAAAGCAAAGAAATTATCGACTAGGCAAGGGACTAGTTTTCCACGAAGGACTCTGTTCCATGCAGTTGGTTGTTATATTTCGCTGCATTATACACGTAGGAAATCTCTTTCCACCGTTTCGACCTCTTCGTTTCAACACAAAGCAGAGTAGAGTGACTTTAAAATTTGCAACCCGTTGCCTATGGGGAATACGAGAAAGTCTTTTAAATATTTTAAACTAAAAGCTTCTGCTTTAGCTGAAATTTTATAAATACTTTATCCTAGAATCAAATTTTTTACAAGAAAAATTATAATCTTACATTTTAAAAGTATTAAAGTTATTGTTTATAGGCTGTGAATACATAAAACCTTAAAATTGGTCATTAAACTACTCCATGAACCGATATTATAAATTGACGTGTAATGCATCATTAAAAGTTTAAAAATTATCTAAACTTACGGGTAGATCTTGAACTATAGTAGTTCAAATATACGGAAGGCCTAAGTTTCTATAGCATTAATTACTGGAGGATCTGTCGCCCCTCTTCAGAAAAATTAATTTTGACATTTATATCGCCCCATTCCAACAAATTTGAACGGAATTATCACTTCCTGTCACCTTTAAATTCTATTCCTTAAACTTTTGGATATATTTTCGGAGGTTTTACGTGAATTAAAATGAAATTATGAGTAAAGAGTAGGTTAAAGTGTATGAATTACATTATGTATTTATGTATAAAATTTAACATTCCTGTTATTCTATTACACAGAATGATTCCAAATGCTATGTACACTTTAAAATGTTAGTATAAATGTTATCTATTGACAATACAATTTATAGAACACTAACAACTCCAAAAATTTTGAGACTCCGTAAGATTTCTTTTTGAAGGGATGTGTTAAAACACTGTATAATCCTCCCTCCCAATATAACGACTAAATGTCGACGAACTCTAAATTGGTATTCGAGGTGCTTATGAATCAGTTGATATAAAAATATCCAACGTTTGGAATTATACTGACAATCTTTTTGTCGTATGCAGAACCATCAATGGGGGTCTCAGTGAAATCGGGTAAATGATAATAAAAACGTTGAGTTTGCCTACAGAAAACACTTCATCTCACATACTTATTGGTTTAGTATCATAAGAGTTATGAACTACAATGACCTGGTTTACCACTTTAAGTTCGTAGAGTTATTTATCGTTCCATACAGAGAGAAAATATTTTGCGACATTTTCAAGAGCAGTTCAGATTCTGTTCATAATTACGCGGACGTCGGAACAATAAACCTTTTCCCCACAACGTCGCTTCGCGTTCCCAGTCTTTGCATTGTAAACCACACAGTGTAGTGTATTACAGAGAGCGCCCTGCTTCTGTTATCTTAAGACCTTGTCGTATTTCTTCCAACGCTCGTGCGACAAGACTTTAAATTGCTCCATTCCCTTTTCCACTATTCTTACTCTCTGCGAATAAACACAAGGGGGTGAGTTTAGACAGAATTTATAACGAAGACCGGCAGTCGAAGGAAAAGTCTGGCAAACATCTTCTTCGGTACACACAGAGCCACTTAGAATTTGTTTTGACCGACTCTTATTATCTTGTCTGAATGCAGTTTTAATTTGTTCTTTTGTGTAACTATTATTATTTTTCTTTCCGTTACTTTTGTTGTTGTTAACTTTTTTGAAAAATACATTGCACCTTTTGATGACAATTCTTCGTTACCAGAAGGTGTTTAGATGATTATTTGTATTTTGTTTGGTTTTGTTCTCATTTTTGTAGTCATCTGCACTATTTACACATTTCATCATCTTGTGCTGACTCTGTAATTGGCTCTTGTACCTCTTAAGTCAGCACATTGAAATAACTGAATTTAATATAATTATTAACTCCTGGGAAAATTCAAAAAATGAAGTGTATGAGTACGGGTGAATATTGGTATTCCATTCCGAGCAAAGGCGAGACTGTTTCTCGTCATCACGACCAGATAGGTTTTGGCGCCCATCAAACGTAATGTCCAGTATGCTGCGAGCACAGTTCTAAAGTATAAAGCGGCCGAAACGTGACGCCGATTGCATCTAGTGCGGAGGGAAAGCATCCTCTACCTTCATTCATAATGCTATATTTGTTACGAGATATGAGCTTAAGAATTGAAACTTAATCTTCAAAAAGTAAATCAATACTGAGACAGCAGAAGGATTAAAATTAAAATATCACATTACGCCATTTAACACAATCTCTTTGTAAAATCCATCCACTTTCCATCGTCACATCTGTTTCCCTAAGATTCATTTAAATATTAACTTCCAATTTCTTTTCGGTATTCAAGGTGTGCGCCTAGTAGGAGACTTCCTAACCAAAAATCTGCAAGTATTCCTTCCCCCCCCCCAATTTAATAATCCCCTTCCCAATTTTAGAGATTCCTGATTCCACTATTCCACCAACAGGCCTACTAATTAGTATGCGTTCTTTGTACGAAGTATGAGAAAGCATTATGTGTTGGCTGTGTCTGTCAGTCTGTCCATCAATCCGCCAGTCCAGTCGATTGAACCAGAAGAATCACTGGACGGACTGGAACAAAATTTGGTTCGGAGGTTGTGACATTCTACATGACCTCAAAATTTTACTTTTCAATATCAGACGAACTTTGATAAAATTACTTATAAGATAAGTAGCAAGGTGGAGAATGAGGTGCTGCAATCTGGCGGTCATAGTGGAAATTTCTTGTTTACAATGACTAACAAGATTAACATTGGTGACCACTGTTATACGTTCTTTGAATGTTTACTTTGGTTAGTATGGTGATCATGGTTTGTATTTAATAGTGGGAATCAGCCAAAGTGTTCGCATATCTTCAGATTTTTTTTTTGAAGAGGTTAAGTTAGAACAAGTTAGGACACGTTAGTTGCGGTTATGTTAGGTTTAAGAAGCGTTATGTTAGGTTACGTATAATTACTTTCGGTGAAGAAAGTTTATTTTAAGATAGATGTTTAAATATGAATTTTAAATGACGGAATTTTGAATGTGGGAATTTTAAAATGTTCTTGAGTTTTAAATTTCGAAACATTTTGAAAAATTTAAAATTGTGGGTGTTCACAAAATCAGAAAACTTCGAATATTTAGATACTTCCAAATTTTCAAAATCTGTAAATTTATTTCGCGGTACAAGGTCGACGTAACACATCTAAATGCAGGTTGCAAGAAACTCATGATATTTGTGTATGAGGATATCACATGTATTCTGGTATATATTTTCCGAGATTATCTGCTGTGTGACTGGTAATCAATAGCGAGGCATGACCATGCTTGAAGCCTATGTTCAGACAGTTACATGCTGCGAGTGAGGTTCAATTGTCCGTTTCTACCTATTGACCATGCGTAAAAATTATTACTCCACCAGAGATTTGCACCAAAAACGAGCAACATATAACAATGTATTTCTTTGATGTCTAAAGGCAT